TCGGAAAGGAACTTCCGAGGCTTTCCAACAGCGAAGATACTCTTCAGGCAAGAGATGTATGCGTCGCAAGTCTCATTATTGTGTGCGAAAGCCCAGCCATAACGGGTGGCATGATCAATGGCTAAGTGAATGAATCTTTTAGATGAGCTGTAGTTGTCAAAACCTTCGATAGTGCCTATGGCCAGATCAAATGGTTGTTCCGCTGGTGGCAAAGATCCCAAGGAACCAAAGCGTTTGGTCTTCGGTTTCTTGCAGCGCTGGCAAGTATCGCAGTGGCGTATGTACTCGCTCACGTCGGTGATGATGTCGGGCCAATAGTACTCTGGAGAGAGAAGCCGCAACGTCTTCTTTACCCCGACATGACCGAAAGCGTCATGAGCTTTTTGGAGAAGAGAAGACCGAAGGACAAAAGGCACATAGACTTTTCGTATTCCTCTGCGTGTCACTATACTCAGTCCGTTCTCAATGGTTTGCTTTCCGGGTGGTTTGTCGTTGTGATGCTCTCGCAGTTGCTCAGCAGATAGGAGTTGAACTACCGGGCTTCGAGATAGTGCATCAGCTTCAATGTTGTCAATGCCCTTTTGGTGTTTGATGTTCACGTCAAACATGGATAATTTCAAGGACCACCGGAAAAGTCGGCCTCGGGGATTCTTGATGCTTTTAAGCCATTGCAACGCTGTGTGATCTGTGATCACACTGAAAGGTTTACCGTGTAAATAGCAGTGCCATTTATCAATGGCGTCAATAATTGCCAAACATTCGAGTTCTGTGATGGCGTAATTAATTTCATGTTTTCGTAACTTCCGTGAATTGTACGCAATTGGGTGTTCTCTACCTTCATCAGCATCCTGCTTCAAGACGGCGCCGATACCTCTGTTGGATGCATCGCAGTATAGCACACAAGGCTTAGTGGAATCGTAGATGTTAAGGATTGGCTCTTCTGTCGCGCATTTCTTGAGCTGAGTGAAAGCCAGTTCACACTCCAAATCCCAGTTACAGGTGGCGTCTTTGCTGAGCAGGCGCGTCAGTGGGTGAGCAATTTGACTGAAGTGGTCGATGTATCGACGGTAAACATTAACAGTGCCGAGAAAACGCTTCAACTCTTAAGGGCGTGATGGTGTCGGAAACCGTAGGATTGCATCCACGTTGCTTTGCTTTGGAGTAACGGTGCCATGCGAAATCTTGTGTCCCAGGTACTCAATGGAGCTTCGAGCGAATTGACATCTCTTTAATGTCAGCTTCACGCCTTCGCTTTTGAAAGCTTTCAAAACGCATTCCACATGCCTCAGATGGTCTGGAAATGTGTCAGAGTAGACAACAATGTCATCGAAGTAATTCGTGACGTTCTGCAAACGGTGTTTTGCCAATATAAATTTGACAGCCCGTTCGAAGGTGGCCGGAGCATTCCGAAGACCAAAAGGCATGACAAGCCACTCGTAGTGACCGATACGTGTGACATACGCCTTTTTCGGAGTGTCATCAGGGTGAATCTTCATGTGCCAGTAACCTGACGTTATGTCTAAAGTCGAGAAGTACGTAGATTTCCCCAGAGAATCGAGAATGTCATCGATGCGAGAGATGGACCGATCATCAGGCACCGTCAATTCGTTTAGCTTGTGGTAGTCAATGCAGAAGTGCTCTGCCAGAAGTGCTGGCGCACCGTATGGGGAGGTAGATAGTCGTATGACACCTTGCTTGAGAAGCTCATTGATCTGTCTGTCCATTTCAACGCTGTCAGTTTCTGAGCATCGATAGGGAGCTCTACGAATGGAAACATTATTGATGAGATGAATGCGATGCATTTCGCCATTGATGCACCCAATGTCTGTCTGTGACTTGGAAAAAATGCCGTCGTACTTGTGGATAAGCTGCTTCAATGCCAACTGTTGAGTTTTATTTAGATGTAGTACATCGCAAACTTCAACACCTTGAAAAGACGTTCCCATGTTAGCCGTGGTGTGGTTTTGTGTACGAGAACGGAGGATGTCTTTCTCTTGGCGCATAGTCATGGTGTCAAGGTCCAGCGACAAGTTAAAGGGGCAAGCACTATCCAAGCCAAGAAGTAAGTTGCTCTTCATGCCTTGTAGAACATGAGCCTGAAGTTTTCTTGTCACTTTTCCTATCTGTACCTTTAGATCAATACCACCCAAAGTTTTGGTAGATGATGTGACTTGTTGAACTGAGATGCATGAATTCCTCATTATTTGCAGGTGAAGTGCCTTCAGCACTGCTTCGCTGATACAGGTAATCGCAGCTACAGTATCAAGAGTAGCGCTGACAGGGTACCCGTTAATGAGAATATCAAAGTGAATTACATGAACTTTGGGTTGCCCTCCTCGTTTCCCTGGTTGGTGGAGAGGGCGGAAATGCTTGCTCGTCATGGGCATTCATTATGCCAGTGCATCTGTCGCGATAAGCCATCCAGCGCGCAGTGTTTGCACTCACGCACGGGTGTTCGTACCGGGGTATTACGTGGACGCTGACTGGTTCTGTCATTTGTTACGTTAATCTGTGTATTCCGAGCTGGTGGAAAGCGATGTAACTTCACTCTCTGCACGGTTGACTCTACACGAAGTGCAGCTGTAAGCCTGGTATAGACGAGGTAAGTCCAGCAAGTGCCATCTCCATATGCGCAGGAAGGCTGTCGATGAGCCCTGATATAAGGTGCGTGTCCTTTAGGTCGGCGAGGCGTCCGAGAGATATTTTTTCATTATAGTATTCCTTCAAGCTCTGGCCTGTTCGCAACCGGCAATGAATGAATTGGCAAAAAGGATCCGTGATGCCGCTCATAAAGCGTTTCTTCATGCGTTCACATAAGCTCTCCCAAGACGCGTCTGTGTCGAAAACCTCGGTAAGAAACCATCGGAAAGCCTTATCTTCAAGGTATTCGGAGAAGTAGCACAGGTTGTCTTGCTCCGTCCATGCTGCAACCGCAGTCCTCACCTCAAAGAGCCGGAGCCACTTGTCAAAGGGGACATCCGTAGATGTGCTTGAGTACTTCAGGATTTTGATGACTTTCTTGGATGTCGCCATGATGAAGGGCACGGTAGATCCTGTGTCGACTAGTGTGATGCAGGAGACGTGATGGCTGTACGATGAACCATTTATTTTTCTTTGTCTTTCTCCTTCTCTACCATATTCCACCAAACAGTTCTCGTGTGGTTCGTCTCTCTCTCTCTCTCTCTCTCTCACACACACACACACACACACACACACACACACACACACACACACACACACACACACACACACACACACGCACACACACACACACACACACACACACACACACACACACACACACACACACACACACACACACACACACATATATATAATATATATACATGAGATCTAACAGACAATAATGCCAAGGAATGTATAGGGGAACATTAGTAGAACGAATGTAATGTAAATAAGAAAGAAAAGTGGGTGAAAAAATAACCAGCCGAGAGCAGGAATCGAACCTACGACCTTCGAATAAGGCGTTCGATTCCTGCTCACGGCTGGTTATTTTTCACCCACTTTTCTTTCCTCTCAATTATATACATTACATTTGTTCTAATAACTTCCCCTATACATTCCTTGGCATTATTGTCTGTTAGATCTCATTATTATTGTGTCAAAACACGGAAAAACGAGCCCTTAGGCATGTATACACCTCTTTCCCTTATATATATATATATAAGGGACCCTGCCCACGGCAAGTTATCTTTTCACCCCCACTTTTCTTTCTTCACATTTACATTACAACAGGCCTAACTTTTATTGTCTGTTAGATCTGTGTGTGTGAGTGTGTTACAGGCAACATTCAGTCCAGATGTTAGCAGCGGGTGAAGAATGCTCGACGACATGGATGAAGTTATTCTCCTAGGTTGCCCGATTGTTGGGAGACTGGAAATAAGGATCATGTACATGTCTAAACGTTCTTGTGGTAATGTACGTGTTGAGAGGGTAAGTTGGGTTCAGAGCACCATGAAACATGTCAGGAATGCTGAAATTACCCAATAGGAACAGTGGCGCACTACAGCGGTGGGCACCGACTCGCTCGCTGGATTTCGTGCCGACCGTGGTTGTGCCCCCGCGCTTTCCGACGACAAGCGCAGCTCTGGCCGACTGGCTCGCCCTACGCCATCACCAGATGCCGACAAGAGCTCTCGCCGAGTGGTGCCCCGTCCTCGGAGTGTTGCGACCGTGTCCATCTTTCCTATCTTCTCCTTATTTTCGTATGTGGGTCTCTCTGTCCCTGCCCTAGATCTATCTCTAGTCCTTTAATCCTCCCTATCCCTTTTAGCCCCCACTTACCCCCATCTCTCCTAAGCTACTGTTTAGTTGTCGCACTATGATGCAGACAGTTACGGGGCTCACTTTCATCTTTTCTCTCTTTTAAGAATCACTTATATGCACTACAGCGGTGTCAATAGCATCGTGCAATTCGCTCACAAAAGCACTAACGGCGGGCCGTAACCTAGTCCCGGTCATAACAACAAATTTCTGACTGTTAATTTGCTACTATAGATTGCATGAAAAATTCACAATAGGTTGGTTGTTTACATAAAAAAAAACAACAACAACAAAGGCACGTTTTTTCGTGCTGTGGCGCGGCGTTTTGTTGGTGCTTGGTAGGTGGCGGGCGTGTGTTCCAACTAATATATCCCAGAAGTTATCTCGCCCTCAAAATTTTGGACCAGTTTTTGCATTTCGCACCCATCTAAATGCAGGTGCCATGGCCTAACCAAAATCGCAACCAGCTCTCACCACACACCGACGTGGTCATTATAGAGTCGCCGTCTAATTAAAATTTTTGCTAATAAAATACATCCAAGTTTTTTTGTGTCAGTTCAGTAATTTTGTACCTAAAAGCTCAATCCTAAAATATGAGACCTTTTTGTTGTGCTTCTTTCAAATGCACTTTTTGTTGGTAATCTCGGAGGCTTGACAAAAAAATAGTTTATGACTGCACCACAAGTGACGCCACGTTCGCAATAGTCGCGCTTTCATAATTTTAGTCGCGGAAAGTTCGGCGGGCGTTTTGCGCACGTTTTCCACGTAATCGGCAATCTTTGGCGCCGTTCCAGAGTGCGTGACTGACAACTTTCTCAACTGTCGACTCGAGTTCCGTCTCTCGTAGCGTTTTCCGTCGTCAGCTTCATTAACGGAATATGTTCACTAACGTAGACGTGTGTGGAGTCCCGAGAGGTCGATGTGGTCGGGAACAGTGCGAGTGCGATGGCTTCTCGCGCATGTACGTTGAAACACACGTCAGTGCGAGTGGCATGATACACAGTGGCTGGTGCTCCTACTGCGGGCATCCGCCGGTCAATCACTCTCGCTTCGGTAAGCTTCTCCGATTGCCTGCTTTTGCGGCGAAATCTGTTATGAGATCGCGTGCGTATGCTCGACTGCGGAGCAATAGAAAGGGCGGGACTGAACCTACAGCCTACCGCGATGTACTCTTGACTGCGGAGCTCCGGCATGCTCCTATTTTGTCTGTTGTTTTCATTAGATTGTACAGTGGCGTCCACTCTTGTGGGGAACACGACCCAGCGCGGCAGCGCTCTGCGGAGCGCCAGTGCAGCCGGCACGGCCGCGCAATCGAATCGAAGAAGCGCAGGCTCGCCGCTCATGCTGTATAACGGCCGAGCGACACCGGCGCTTGGCGACTACGGAGCGGCGTGCTCGAATCAAGTAGCAGACGGCGCAATGTATTTGCCGTGTGTTTGTGAGCGCATGCACGGCCACGCTGAGCCGTGTTCACCCTAACAAAGAACAGCACAGTAAATTATCCAATTAGACACTCCGATTGGCCGCCTGTTGGTGTGCGCATGCGCCGTCGACTATGCGTCCCATGTGGCTCGTGCTTGACGATTGAGCCAGTAGACTATTGGCTATAAAGTGGTATAGCTTTTCCTTGTCTGGATTCTGAATTCATTTTCGATTCGTGGAAACCTGAACCAGAACTCCAACCCAAGTCCTGCTCGACTGGTATTATTAGTTGAGGCTTCACGTTAGACAGACCTGATTTCGGGAAGCAAGCATGTACCACAAAAATTGGTCGTCAGTCCCTTTAAAAAGTTCACTCCGATGATTTCCTTAGAGTCTAATCCGTGTGTGGTCGTCGCTTTCTTTCGTTAATAAACCAGAGAGAAACATTTGTGGCCGCCAAGAAATCCTCTCGCTCAGCTGGCAAGGTGCCCGGCCACCACCGCTTAGTCTACCCGCACGCCGTAAGTATCAACCTTATCCTGATTTCAGTGAAGCAAGTGAGACTCATACCTGTGTCACAAGGGCGCTTTGAAAGGCTATCCAGTCTATGGCCATCGGAACGCCAAAATTCTATACACCTCATGGAGTTGTCATTGTATTGTAACAGCGCGACAACAGTAGGAAAATACAATATGGACAGGAAAGAGCACTGACTGTCAAATGAATTTATTGAAGGTGCTACGACTGCTTTTATACAGGGTGCAAGAACAGTGCTCATGCGCGACAACACGTGTTTGACTATGAATAACATTCTTAACTCTGAAAAGAATGCTCTCTCTCTCGGAAAGGAGAAGTGATGGTGTAGTGATGCATCGATCCGTGGCCTTCCTGATAAAATGTGCTTCTATGATCTCTCCTCCATTCTTCAATAGTGCTTTGTTCAAAAACCGCATTATATGAAATGGAGGACTGCTCTTTTGTTCTTTGCAGTGTACAGCCATGTGGCTACCATAGCCATAAAAGACCCTGAAATGGTGTTCGCGATTTTGTACCAACAGATTGGCCCAGTAGACCAAATCCCAAGGGTTATTTAGAGACTGATTTGAGCTGTCTGCGTAAACTGTGTAATTTTTTACAATGCTTTAAAGCTGCGAATGGTTGCAGATTGGTGCAGCTCGTTGCAACTCGGCTGAACGCGTTTTCAATCGCCCTTTCACAGAGCGACGTGCTCTGGTCACTTGACAAGGCTAGAGCATGTCAGCAGCCATGTCACTGTGGCTACTAATCTGATTGGCTGTCATTAGCTGTAGAATGGGCGGAAGTAAGATCAGCTGGTAGGGTGTCGGCACCTGTCAGAGCAGATATGAACCACTCCACAATCTTCTTTTATGTTGCCAGACAGCATACATGTTGCTGGGCGCACTATGTGATGGTCTCCGAGAATGTGCGCGACCTGTCGTCGTGCCATCTCGGAGGTCTAGACTGGTAAAAGCTTAAATCGTCGAGCGCACTCATGGGAGCTCTGCCATTGCCACCATGCCTCACGAGTTGAGGAGGCCAAGCAGAGGTGAGAAGGAGGGTATGATATAATTGTCTGTTGCGGCCTTGGTACACAGTGTGTCAGTAAGTTTGTGGTGCGAACTGTTTGATGATGCTCTAGCCTAAATGCTGTCAAACCTTCAAAAAGCCCTTCAATGTCCTAACTCTTTCGTTACCGCGTCTATTCAAATCAATCACCGGTGATCGACGCATTGGTTTGTGGATTTTGGCATGTTAAATTTGTTTCTCGTGGACCCAGCCTTTTCTAGTAGTTAGTCCAGCCACTTAACTTTCAGAATGAATTTGAATTTGCCCGTTTTGGCAACATAGTGATTTTCGAAAGACGTTTGCGCGAACCAGTGTGCATGTGTTGTTGGAAAATTCAATATACTGGTAAACTTGACAAAAATTTGTGCCCCTCATGATTATGCTACAGTGGCATCGTAGGTCTGTAATCAAAAGAATTTCTGCAAGCCAAATGTCGAATAAAGAGTCAGCTTTGAAATTTGACAGTGTTGAGCTGTAATAATATCCAAAAATTTATGCCAGCTATTCAATAAAGACCTCTTGCTAGGAGTCGAGCAAAATTTACTCTATAAAAAAACATTTTTGAAGGTCTGTCGCATTTTTAAAGTATCGAGTTGGCCTTCTCAGCCAGTTTCCAGCAACTTTGGTTTTTCTTTCATCGTTATATCAGACACAGGATGGCATCTAGCGTCATCGCTAGATGCCATGGCGTCATCGTCACACGTGCATGGCGTCATCGTCACACGTGCATGGGCACACATCTCCGCTGCAAAACACACGCACCGCTCTAAACTGTCTTGCAACCCCACCTGAACTGAGTGAGGATGAGCATAAAGTCCGTGGACGACAGAACCCCACCTTCAAGTCTTGGGGTGACTTATTTATTTATTTACAGGATTTCTGCTGGCTTCAAAGTGAAGCCATAAGCAGGAGTGGGTAACATATAAATATAGCACGCTGAACATTTTCACAATATATTACGCACAGAGAATGTCGCGGACACACAGGTTTTAACGCGGTAAAAAGAAAAATATACAGTGCATGACATGCAATTGCGCATAGCATAATACCTATATAAGTGCGTACTAACGTCGCTTGTGTACTAACAACGCAACGTCACAAAACAAAGATTACAAATATGGCAGGAAGACATGCTATGAATTTTTTAGCTCCGATAAGAATGACGCCACTGTCGCCACCTGCACAATCCCACCAGGGAGGCGATTCCACTCGCGTACAGTTCGTGGGAAAAAAGAGCCCATGTACAAGTTCGTTCTGCAAGAAAATTCCTGTAATTTTTTTGAGTGATCCGCCCGCGTGGGTCGTCGCACAACTTTTTCTATATATGCACTTGAATCAATGCCAAGCTTATCGTGGTAGAGCAGATACATATATTTTAGCCTTTCGCGATATCGCCGCAAATGTAATGCTTCCAAGTTCGCTGTCTGAAGCAAAGCAGTGACTGACGTAAGGTGATTGTATGAGCGAAAGATAAATCGAGCAGATTTTCTTTGTAGGTTTTTTAGTTTATCAATATTTTTCTTTGTGTATGGGTCCCAGACCACGCAGGCATATTCCAAAAGGGGACGAATGTAGGTTTTATATGCTAATAATTCTATTTCTTGCGTTGACTGTCGTAACGATCTTCTAAGATATGCAAGCTTTCTCATGGCTTTCGTTTCTAGAAAAGTGATATGTTCATTCCACCGGAGGTCTGAAGTGATTATTAAACCTAAGTATTTATAACGATTTACAGCACTAAGACAGCGACCATTTATCGAATACTGGAAAGTAAATGGTGCCTTCTTTCTTGAAATTGTCATTGAGACAGTTTTTGTAGTATTGATGCACATCTGCCATTTTTCACACCAAATATGCAGTTTGTCCAGGGCACTACTTAATAATGCCTGGTCGGCAGGTGTGTTTACTTCCTGATAAAGGATGCAATCGTCCGCGAACATTTTGATTTTGACAGGTATATCATTTACGATATCATTTATGTAAACTAAAAAGAATAGTGGCCCGAGAACCGACCCTTGGGGAATGCCTGATTGCACGGGCGCTAGGCGTGAACACGAGCCGCCAACTGATACGCATTGACTCCTAGGCGATAAGTATGACTCTATCCATGAGAGAAGCGAGTTATTTTGTAATATGGGTTTTAATTTTAACAAAAGCTTATGGTGTGAGACGCGATCAAATGCCTTCTGGAAGTCCAAAAAAATTATATCGATTTGACTCTGTTTATCTAAGGCTGAGGCAAACTCGTGTATTGTCTCAAGGAGTTGGGTAACCGTCGACATTCCCTTACGGAAACCATGTTGGCGGCAATCAATCAATTTATTTTGTTGCAGAAAGTTTGGCAAGTGCGTAAAAATAATATGTTCTAGCAATTTTGAGCAGGTGCACAGTAAAGATATTGGTCTGTATGACGTAATTACTGAAGGATCTTCTGCCTTAGGGATCGGAACAACCTTCGCGCGCTTTCAATCTCTCGGGAGTTCTGCAGTGGACAATGTTTTTTTGAATATAATAGATAAATACTTTGAACACCATTCTGCATACCTTACTAGAAATGCGTTCGGTATGCAATCAATTCCTGGTGATTTCTTTATATTGATTTTAAGCAGCAGTGATAAGACACCCTCTTCAGTTATCATTAAGTAAAAAATTTTGGGTACGTTCTGAGAAATCGCAAAATTTGGTTGTTTCCCATCGTCATTTGTGTAGACTCAACAGAAGAACTTGTTAAACGATGACGCAAGGAGTGATTCATGAGTTACCAATTCTCCATTAATGAAGATTTTATATGCCTGTTGCTTCCTAGGTGACAAGTGTCGCCAGAACTTCGCAGGAGCAGAAAGCAAGAAGTTTTTCAAAGATATGTTGAAAAAGTAGTCTTTTGCCTTCTTTATGGTTTCATTTAACTGCAAACGCATATTAGAAAATTTTGATACATGAGAAGATTACGGGTTCTGGCGCAGTCTTTTGCGCGCATCTTCTTTAGTTTGCGTCCCGCTCGCACTACTTCCCTCGTCGTTCAAGGGCGAGCAGATTGCGTTCTGATAATCTTTGAGGGGACATGACTTGAGACGCATTTCATAACAAGATTCTTGAAGAAACCCCACAAATCTTCGACAGAGCAACTACTTGATTCATACATATCACCGAAATCTGAAAACGATATATCTAACAGGTCAAGAACGGCAACGTCATCAGCACGAGTGAAATTTGGCACTACGCGTTTTTCCTTCACTTCTTTCCTTACGTGGAGTGGAATGCTCAAAGATAACAATCGATGATCGGATACACCGTCATAGACGCACAAAGCAGGATTTCGACGAAGGATTCTGTCACTCACAAGAAACAGATCCAAAATAGATTGTGTGTTACTTTGAACACGGGTAGGTTGTTTTACTAACTGTGTTTAGTCATGAAAAAGAACAATGTCGACCAAGGGCTCAGCAGCACTAGAAAGCGGTTCCGGGAAGTCCGCGTCTCAATTAACTTGAGGAATATTAAAATCCCCGGCTAACAATATATTAGAAGTGCTTGTGTTGCAAGAACAAACAAAATCATTAATACCATCAAAAAATGCCTTCTCGGCATACGGAGGGCGGTAAAATGCACCCACAACCAGGTTCATTTCCTCAAGGCGTATTTTAATAATGACACCTTCAATGCCGTCTCTATCGGAAAGCCTAGTCACATTGAGGTAGTTTTTAAACAGGATGGCCACACCACCACCACGAGATGGTCTGTCTTTCCTATAAATGCCATATCCTGGTGGCGCTATTTCGTCGTCCTTAATATCTGAATGTAGCCAGGTTTCTGTTATTACAATCAGATGGGGTGCATGCGCTATCGTGATACTTTCCAGGTCATCAAGTTTATTGATGATGCTGCAAGCGTTAAACTGAATGCAGCGAAGTGAATTGCCTGATTGTGCTTCGGT